TCTTTGGACCCGTTCTTCCGATAGTGAGCGTCCAATCGGAGGACGACGCCATCAATTTCATCAAAAAGGGAGACAAACCGTTGTCTTTGTATTTGTTCTCAACTAATCAGAAGACAATCGATAAGTTTGTAAACGAGACATCGAGTGGTGAGTCAGCCCTGCATTCAATGCCATTCCTATCCTTTTGCTGACAATTATTATTACCTATTTTAGGCTCCATTTGTGGAAACGATACCGTCATTCACCTCTCGATAGATACGCTGCCATTTGGTGGCATTGGAGCCTCAGGTTTGGGTCGATATCACGGAAAGTACTCTTTTGACACTTTCTCACACGAGAAGTCAATACTGATTCGCGGATATAATCCGGTTCTGGAGGCCATCGGATCGTGAGTTCATTGCAATCATTCCCATAATTAAAACCAATTAACGATATATTGTTTTTGTGTCAATAGTAAGCGCTATCCACCCTATAATGACAGTAAACTCCGGTTTATGTCCCTATTATTGGCCAAAAGACGCGACTTTACGCCCAAATATTTGTCGCAATACTTGATGTACGCTTTGGGTGTCGTAACTGTCCTCGGAGTTCAGGCTTTGTATTAAAAGTACAACAAATTGTGACATATTTTGCACAACTATTATGTATACCTTAAACATAAACTATATGATTATATTATGATTGCAATTCAGGCACAAGTTATGCCAAATATATCCAATTTATTTGCACACAATTTATATTCAAAAATATTTACTGTAGTTGTCAAGCAATCATGTTATGAGTAATGAGATATATTTAGTTTATTTTTTCTATGTTTTTAACTTTGCATTGAACGCAATTTGTTAACAAGTTTTATTTAATTTTGTATTCTGAATGTTTATTTACGAGAAATGTTTTGAAAATTAATAAAATCAATGAAATTCATGAGATATACCACACTTTTGCTGAATGTATGCATAAAATGTAATAATAATAAACAATTTATTAGAAATAATACGCAATTTGTTATACAATTCTTGAATTTTACTGTTAATTGTTAGATAAGTTACCGGTGCTATTTGCACTGAACACACTATACCTATTAATTGGATGACTTGTGAGTACTTACCGTATAAAGTTGAGTTCAGTTTGTTAAGTGTGATCAGTGCACAGAGCACCGGCAGTTTATTTTGAAGTCCTTTCGGTGTTCAATGTCCAATTGTAATACTTTTGCCTTATTTAGAAATATAGAGTTAATGATCAAATGTTTTCCTATGTATAAAGAAGGTGTTCATACAAATCACACAATCGTTATATAATTTGAATTGATGTCACATTTTGTGATATATAGGTCTCAATATTCATATCAAATACAATTGCTGTGTTTATTACCTGAATAGTACACTAATATAATACTATTGAGAATATGAGTAATTACTGTATTATAACTTATAATGGATGTTCTCGGTTTTGCAAATGGCAGATTGGTATTGCTAGGTGAATTGGCATGAATAACAAACAATTTACACAAAAATATAAAAATTTGATTGCTCCTGGTCACCGAAAAACACGAAAAACCATTTGGCTGTTTAATTTTTGGTGAATACTAATTTTAATCATAAAATATTAAAACAATTTCAGTGGCTCAT